ACAGTTCCAAATCCAAACGATCTTCAGGACAGGAATCATATTCTGACCTTTCTGATGGAAAGCTGACCTTCCGAGGGCCTTCAAAATAGTTAATGGGATATCGATATTCCAAGTATACATCTGTGCTGTTGACAGTGGGTCGGAGACGGCGAGAACCGCCACTACTTGTGCAAAGCAGTGGCAACCTGTGCGCGAATTCAGTTCCCGAGGGAGGCCCACAAATCAATCACATCCCCATACTATCCAACTATATAACTTAGTCAAGACGCATTAAGTTCTCAACTCGAGTTTTTCGTTTTCTCAAGTCACTCAAAGTGATTAATGGGGTGTGGGGACCACTTCTAACAAGGCCTCTTGGAGCCTCGTATGAGAGTGGGACAGTGTACTGTGCCAGAATTGATTGACAGTCTCATAGAGGTAGGCATTTGATGCGTCTGTTAAGCCTTACAGCACAGCCTGTTGACGCTGCAGAAGACATAGATGCGCATAATAAATCTGCAGGTGCCCAATCGAAAGCAACAGGAAAGACGAGTAATGCAAAATGGTCAACGGTTGCACAAAATGAAAACCCAAGCTGACAGCACGCAGATAAGGTCTTCCAGGCTGAGGAAGACGTGCTAAGGGCTAACTTGGATTAGTTATCTACGAAAGCAGTTGTCCGCAAAGGTTCTGGTATGACTGAGTATCGTCCGATATGGAAAGAACGAGCGAGAGAGAGAGTGAGTGAGTGAAGTAAGTACGGCGTAAGTCTTAACTGCACTTCCAGTCAGTGGCGGTTGGTTTTCCAATGCGATAAAAGAACTGGCAACGTTACTGAGAAACCAGTAAAATTTCCCCGATCGTCTAAAACGCATACCGTAGAAAATAACTAGCCTGAAAGTTTTCTCAACGATGCGTCTCATTTGCCGACTAATATGATAGGAGCCCCGGAAATATACAAGCCCTGCCTGTTAACCTAACGGTTGACTACTGGAAGTTCTCTGAGTAGCGGACAGTAACATGACCTTCGCGAAAACTAGTGACGAAATAAACAGGCTGTCAGGCCTGACAAACAAGCAATCACTGAGTACGCAGCGAGCGGTTATAGTTTCCGCGGTGGTTTGGCACCGATGTGGTGAATCATTTATTTTTAAAGGGTCACGGGTCCCAGCAGTATTGTATCATGGGGAACGGGGGGGAAAAGACTTGGCTTACTTGCAATCCAACGCTGAAGGCTGCCAGGAATGGAGTCCATACGAGCTTAAACATGGGCCGGACGTGTTCTGTGTGTCTCGCGCTCGTGAAATCCGATTGCATGTGGCTAACCTTAAGTAACAATTTCAAAAAATGAGAGGCATATTTTTACAGGTATGAACTTACAACAGGCATATATGCAACAGGATTAATTGGATGCAACAAATTTTGCAAGAGCTTTTCAACTACAAACCGTCTTTGTGTGATTCTGACAATGAATCAAAAGCATAAAGCTTGAATTTCCACAGAATAAAGGTTCCTAATAGTCGAAATAGAGAAAGCAGATGTAGGCCACTGCCCTACGAATAAGGCGATGTGCTCCAATCTCTTCACAGGGATGTGACAAAGATCTCAGAAATTCAGCTTTCGATGTTTTTAACGCAAAGCAAGCAAACCCTCTATGCAGTCCTAGTTGGAGTGGAGACAGCTCCGCGGAACACGAGAACAACTTACAGATTCCATCAGTTCGCGAGCACTCTGGGCCAGAGCTTCCATTTCGCGGCTGGCTTTGTCAAAGTGTTGGCTATTATGGCCAGATCCGGTTAATGGTGTCGTTGGAGCATCGTCCGCAACGCCAGAACCGCCGCCACCACCGGAGATGGCACTGCTC